CTGAACTCTACATGCATCGCACTAAACCCGCAGCGTCGACGCCTAGGGACGACAACCATCAACGACGACGATGACCCCAGGCCTGCAGTGAGACACCCCACAGAAGGCGGAACAAAACGAAGTCTCCACCCTCCTGCCATCGCTGCGACGAACACAATGCCACTCCCTACCGTGCTGAGTCGCAACAGGACTCAGAGCTGTTTCATTCGCTCCGACAGAGCAGTGCGCAGGGCCAACGCTTTGTCGGTTGTAGTTAGCATCGACACGGGTTGCAGGGGCTCTTCCATCCCCAGGTCCACACGTCTTCGCACACCATTAGCATCGAACTCCCACAGCAGGTTCTCGTCGAATGGAATCCCGACGTCGATATGTTGTGCAGTATACAGACGGCGGTGAACTGCTGCTGGAGAGTCTCCACGTTCGTCTTGTGTGATCGCAGAAACAGACGTCACATGCCCTTCAGCCTGCCGAACGCCTGCTCCACCGCTTCCCTCGCCACCTTCTGCTTGTTGTCGAAACGCTCGTCGTCGACGTGCTGATTGATGCCTCCATACGGGACCACCATCCATTCAGATGGGGGGTAACCGTTATCCGCTAGGACGTAGCCGCTCGTGCGCACACCAAAAGTGAGTGTCACAGGCGGACCACGGAACAACTCCCCTGACTCTGCGCGCTGCCAGAGGCTGGACAGCTGGAGCACCCTGATGTCGTGGAAGCTCCCCGGGTATCCGCAGTGCACGTCGACGACTCGCAAGTCGAGGTCGACGACAACCTGCGCGACGATGGAGAAACGGCGCTTCCTGTCGTAATAGTTCTCGCTTGGGGCGTTCGCCGGCTTGTCGACGAAGATATGAGTACAGTCGATGCAACCGTGGCAATTGGGGAATCCTTTATCAGCGAACGCCCGCAGGACGACGAGCTTGCGAAGTCCACTCGGCCAGGCAATCTTATCTGCGAACACCCGGAGCAGCGCGGCAGTGACGTCGCGCACGGCGACGAGGCCAGAGGCTCTGCCAATCCCGAAGTGGCACATGCCGCTCTCGTATGTCTCGCCCGACGCCCACCTGTACAATGCGTATGCGACAATCTGGTCAGGCTGCAGAGGCTCCCTGTAAAACGTCACCCGCCGCTGAAGATGAGGCGCACATGCCCCCGTGATCTCCCGGAACACTCGTGGTGACATTCGTAGCTTTTCCCGGAAGTAGTCGTCTGTCGCGTCGTCGCATTGGCGGAGGTCTTCCCATGTGCCTCTAGTCCTGCGCTTTATCCACCACCGCGGCGTCTCTCTCGGCATCACTTCGCACCCTGACACGTACCATAGCTTAAGAACACTCTGCGACGTCGCCACGTACTCCGGACCAATGCTCTCTTGAAGCCTCATGACCACCCTCCTTCTACATGCGCGCAACTCCGCCCTCAGTCGTCCAAGCGCCCGCTCGCGACGAGCTCTCTCTACAAACGTCGACACGGCCGCCGCCACGACTTGCAGTTCATGAAGCATCAACAAACCACGTC